CCGTTGTTGAGAAACATTGGCGTTTTTCACTTTTATAGATCTGGTCCCATCTTTGAATATATGCCATTCAATTTTAATTGATTTGATCAGCCTGCGCTTGCATGTAGCTAGATACAACTACACATAGATAATATTTCTGTAATATGAGGTGTATATACCCACTCAAATAGACGCAGGGTAAATTTAAGAAAAGATTTTAACTTTCCACAAGACGATCCGTTGTTGAGAAACATTGACGTTTTTTACTTTTTAGATCTGGTCCCAACTTTGAATATATGCCATTCAATTTTAATTGATTTGATCAGCCTGCGCTTGCATGTAGCTAGATACAACTACACATAGATAATATTTCTGTAATATGAGGTGTATATACCCACTCAAATAGACGCAGGGTGATCTCGAAAATCACAAAAAATTTGCATTGTTAAACAAAGCGGCTACTTTGAGTGCAGATAACTTCAAAAGGGAAGGGATAACCGTTAATCTAAGGCCATATTTGTGAAATATGGCGAAAAATTTGTTAGAATACCAAGTTTGACCCTGATAGCTATTACCAATCTCCTGTTATAAGCTTCCAAAGTTGAAGTAAATTGCGTTTGCACATCTTGAAGAACCACGCCCCATATTTTTGAGGATTCAATATCTCGAAAACTACATATCCTATGAGGCTAACTTTTTTTTTTTTTTTTTTTTGGTTTTTCATACAGTGAATCATTTTTATGAAGTTTCATCAAAATCTGAGATGGTCATACAGGAATTTCTTTTTAATCTGGTTGATTTGACATGGAATGACCCTACAATAGGTCAAAGGTCAGAATGTACCATTTCCGGTCACTATTTGAATATATTTTTCATTAGGACGACTATAAACATGAATCTTCTGAAAAAGTTGCAATCAATTGTGAGTCTCTATGACCAGTAGTTACCGAGATATGACATTACAAGGTCAAAGGTCAAACTTTCAAAAACCGCATTTCCCGCCATTTTTGGATAAAAAGTTGTATTACAACAAATAGGAACATGCATATTGTGAACAATTTGAGACCAAAATCAAGTCTCTCTGACCAGTGGTTATCGAGATACAAGCGTCCAAATCAACAGGCGGCCATTTTAAAAAACGCCCCCAAACGGGACTTTCCCCCAATATCTGGGAGGTATATAGGAGCTATATTTTATCTAAATTGGTCCATCTTGCCAAATCCATCGAGAAACAAAGATATCCTAAAATTAGTCACGGATCTCATGAAAATGACTCTACTATTTGATAAAGGACAATACTACATCGCGTAGCATAGCTCTCAACGAATGTAGTCCTGTAAATAAATGAATAAAGAAATTGTGTAATAAAATGCCTCTGGCGGGACTCGAACCTGCGACCTCTCGCTGTCAAGGCGAGCGTCATAACCATTAGACCACTGAGGCTTCATGGTTGAACAGATTCAAATACCACCAGATTCAAATACCACATATATATATATGTATATATGTGTGTATATATATGTATGTATGTATATGTGTGTGTATATATATATACTTTATATGTATATGTATTTATATATGTATGTATATATGTACGTATATGTATGTATGTATATATGTATATTATGTATGTATATGTATGTATGTATGTATGCACGTATGTATGCATGTATGTGTGTATATATGTGTATATATATATGTTTATATATATATATATGTATGTATGTATATATATGTATGTATGTGTATATATATGTATATATATATGTATTTATATGTATGTATGTATGTATATATATATATGTAATTATATATATATGTATATGAATGTATATATATGTATGTATATATATATATGTATATGTATATATGTGAATGTGTGTATGGGTGTATACGTGTATGTATGTGTATACACATACACATTAGCGATACTACTTTCACCTTAAGGTACTGTTTTTAACCCTCTTCATTGTTTTAGTTTCTCCCTATGGATACTTCTAAGCTCCTATACATATATACAGACCTTGATTTAAAGAAAAACGAGGAGAGCTACTAACAGCTCTCCTTAAGATATTGAGGAGAGCTGTTTTTTAGCGACAAAATTTCGTCAACGGCCATTAGGATTTTTAGCACTATACTGTGACACTGTGCAAAATTAAACAGTAAAGAGTGTTTGAATCAAATTCTGATAAATGCAGGGGTTTAAATAAAATAAACACAATGACAAACAATATTTATTGGAGTTTCACAATACAGATTTATTTCTTTAACAACCAAGATAATGATGTTTGATGTACATATATAGTAAGTATAAAAATTTCTACTGAAGTTTGTGGAGATGAAGGTAACATGGAGTGTTAGCCAACTTCATTGGAAACAAAAATGTTTACTTTTAAATCAACACCTTTTGAATTTTACATTTTTTTTTTGGCTTTCATCTTTTTGCTACTACGGACGATGTATTAATATGTATGTTTTATTCTAAAATTGTGTCACAAAATAGCTAATCTAGATAATAATCCTAGGGAATTCCCTCAATCACGTTGTAATACTGAGGCATGTGTATTGTTAATGTTATTGCTTGCCTCGTTTTGGAGTTCAATGCTGCCACTGGCCTCGCATCCCGCTGGCCTGTCATCCATGCGGCATGTTAATCACACCAAAACGTTTTGTTTTTCCGACATTAACATGTAGTTTCTTTCTAATTATTTAAAAAAAAAAAAAAAAAAAGATAATTTTAATTGTTATTAACGCAAGTTCAAGCTGTCTGTTTACCTTCAACGCTAAGTGCCGTGTAGCAGTGTCTTTGTTCACGAAAGTTGTCCCTCGCACGTATGCCTCCAGATCTTGCATAGCCTTTGCTTTTTTATTTTTCCGTCTGTTTTTATCTTATCGATATATTTTGCGCATAATTTGCACCAAATGTTTGTCACCAAGATATTTTGTTCGACTGCAGATGACTCGTAGCGAAATGATTTTAAACCCCAGTGTACAGAATTGCCCTTTAGGCTTTACGGGCCTAGGTTGCACCATGATCAGTTCGAAGCTAGCCCAAGCAAAGATCTTTGGCCCAAGTTATTACTGTTTTTTGTTGCTCTGTGATTGGCTGCGCACTGTTTTTAAGTGAAGCGAAAAAATATGCAGCCAATCAAAAGCTCAGAAAAATTGATTGCGGGAATAATTCGCCAATGCTAGTGAAAAAATTGTCTGCTTAGTAATTTTTTTAAATTTAAATAAGTAAATGTACTGAAAAAAATAAAACAAACATACTTACTAAAAATAAACTGTGGTGGTCGGCAGGCTGCATACTTACAAAACTTACCTTACACAGCCAATCATGTGTTTGTACATGTCGCTCACCGGCGGCGGTCGGTTCCTCTCCTGCACACACAGTCAGTGCATGGAGGTATTATTCTCAATAATACCTCCATGGTCAGTGCGAGCATAAATTCAATTAACTAGCCCTGACTTAATTTTTGCGGTTCTTTCGTACCATTTATTTTACGTAATAGTAGTTCCTGATGATGACATAATTAATGTCGAAATATTGAATCCCAACACGATGGCGTGTATTTCAATAATAGTAGTATAATAAATATTTTAGTATGTTAATAAATAGTAAGTTTGTTTCGTGGTAGTTTCCTACCAATTATTTCACGTCAAAATTGTTAGTATCCAGGTTAGTACACTTTACATATCCCTAGCTGTCACAACAGCCGAAACTGCAGGCGGTAATCGGATCGTCGGTACACAAACATGTGGTTAATATCCATCAATGCCTGCCGCTGCCTTTGGTAGCTGTGCGCAGAGAGAGTGCATTGATTCACATTTCAGTACACACGACGTACACGCTGCCTGCTATGTAATCTGTATTTTTTGTCGCTCCCTAGGAAAATTCAGGAGCGGTATTGACTGCTCTCCTCGCATCATTTTGAGGAGCATATATACTGTCTCTTATACACATCTAGATGTGTATAAGAGACAGTATAGTAAGTATAAAAATTTCTACCTGTCTCTTATACACATCTATGTATTACTGTGTAAATTGTTTGTTTAATTCAAATTTTTATAAGTCGAATTTTGGCTATATCGATGGAATTTTCCGGTCCGGATAGGCCGGTTTTAAAGTAATTTTAACTACACAAGTCGAAGTTCCAAATTTAGTAGCGCACGTAGGAAAAATACACAGCCGTGGGAAAATACGAAGTTCAATCCTTGTTGTACAGCAACAAGTTAGCCATGTCAAAACTAACATCTGAGACAGCGCGCTGTGGAACTTGGCACACGTGATCGTATGTCGTAAGTTGTAGTCTACTCTCACAATACAGACACCCCTCTGGACCGGCTCCAATGTTCAGTTTTTCCAGTTCAGTTTGTAAAACTTGTATTGAACCCATTTCGAAGAAGATTGTTGTAGTCAGGGCCTAGCTATTTAATTAATTTATCAAAGCCCTGGATTCTTTTGACTGCCTAGCCTACGCAAATTCGACACATTAGGCCTATTTAATAATACGTACAGTACCTGTTGTTTTGCTGTACTGCTCAGCAAATTTAATAATTACCAATAAAACTGATGCGACTTTTATATTGTTTTTGCGTGCATTTCTTTAGGTCTGATTATGTTTTTCCAAGCACGCATTCTTCGCTGGGAATGCCACTTGCTGGTCGGCAGTCTAAATGTAAACAGAACAGGTCGCGCCCCAAAAACTCTGCCTGCCCGCCAATTGGTCCATTTTCGTGGGGTGTTTTGCAGACTAGACATGTGCTTCGGCTGTGATGACGTCAGATCGCCCAAAGTTTCATAGTGCGTGACAGTAACAAGCTCGGTGTATTAATCAAGAATGTTTTAATTGTTAAAAACAAATTTATAAAACAAAACAAAAAACAAATAAGAAACCCTCATGGTATATTTTAGAGTCAAATCTAAATAAACCTAACAATATATTTTATTCTCTACAAATTTCCTCCGTAATTAAATTAGCATTTGAAATTTACAACGACGAATCTAAAGAATTTGAATTAGACGTCTACCAGTAAAAAGCTTGCTTTGTTGAGTTCCGTCTTTTATTGCAGGTTGATTCCAAATGGTTTTTAAGGATTAAAAGCAAGAATTATACGCTTATTAAAACATTGGAATGCGTAAATTTCACTTCATAATTAACCAACAAAACGTCTACTGGTGTGTCGTATTAATCAACAGATAATCTCCATGGCAATGCGAGTACAGCTATTAAGCATCTCGTTTTCACAGCGTCTGGTATGCTTGTGTTAAAAGATGTCTATTAAACTATAGTCTGGTTTTTCGAGTGAGCGTTACCGTCCTGAATTGGACAAATCGTCCGAAATTTAGAATAGGGAGTTCATGTTTTTGGAAAGTATTTTATTAAAAGAAGAATAGAAATGACTTTGGGACTAAAGAAAATGTTCGGTTTTGCGTGAAATTCGATTTTGTGGGCATTGAGTGCAAATAGTATTGTTCTATGTTAATTTTTTTTCCTGAAAATGTGCAAGTCGAAATCTGTATAACTCGAACTTTTTATGCCAGTCCCATTAGATTTGACTTAGGCGAACTCGACTGTATATATAGATTAAAAGACAAAATACTGAAAAACAACAATGCTGTGGGAAACAATGGCTGGATCTCAGTAGAGATACAAAAATGATAAGCAACAGCTAAAAAGTAAACGTAAGTAAACAGCCAGAAATAGAACCAGAGCTTTCGGACAACACTAGTCCTTCCTCAGTGGCGAGTGAGTGAGGGTAGAAAAAGCTAGATGATATAAAGTGAGAATTTCATGCAAGCATGATTAGAAACAATAGGCTGGGTGAGATTAGGATAAACAGACTAAACAAGTAAACAGGAAGGCCAAAACTAAACTTTAGAGGCAAGCCTCAATAAATAAGCCAAATGATTTATCCAGAATAAATTGAAATGCCATTGGTTTAATTTAGTGTACTGGGAGGACGTTCCTAATATTGAGTCCAAATAATGTGGTTGTTTTAAGTAAAGATTCCCAGTGATTCTCTTTATCTTTGCGATTTTTGTCGCTCCAACTGGCATTATGGTCAATTGCAATCACTTTGAAATTTGAAATTGAATGACCAGCTAAGTTGAAATGTTCGGCTACTGGTTGATCAAGCTTAGATGTTCTGATAGCTGATCTATGCTGTGTCAAATTCTCATACGGAGAGTGTTTTTTGTTTCTCCGACATATTGTTTACCACAAATATTACAATATATGAGATAAATGACATTTTTGGTGAGGCAATTAATTGATTGCCTTATCCGAAATATGTGGTTTGTTTGGTTGCTCTTGAATGATTGTGTAGAATCAAGCAAGGAGCATGTTTTGCATGATGAACCACAAAGATGAATACCCAAATTTCGGTTGTCGCAAGAGTTAGTTTGCCTCTTGAATTTAGATCGTACTAATATATCACGAAGGTTAGGTGGCCTGCAATAGGCTATGAACGGTGTATCCGGAAAAACAGACCTAAGACGTTTCTGAATTATAGCCCTTAGTGGTGGTAACCTAGGGTGATATGTAGTGACCAGTGGCACTCTGGTCGATCGCTGACGTGGTTTGTACGTCAGTGTTTGAGCATGAGGTATGTCCTTTGCTTTTTTTACAGCATTTTCGATTGGTCCTCAATGATAATTTCTATTCCGGAGATGTCCGGATAGCTCTTCTGTGCGATTCTGAAAATCTAAATCCGAAGAACAAATGCGTCTCATGCGCAATGCTTGGCTGTACGGAATGTTTTTTGTACAGTGCGGGGGATGACAGCTGCTAGGGAGCAGGTACATATGCTTATCCGTGGGTTTACGGACAGAGATCAGTTTTGAGTGCACCATTTTCCATGGTCACGGTGATGTCCAGAAAATCTACACTGCTTGTGGATTTGTTAGCAGTGAATTTGATTGTGGGATGAGCTGAATTAATGTTCAATAGTAACGTATCCAAACTATCTTCACCATGGGTCCAGATCATGAAGATATCATCAATGTAACGAAACCAAACATCTGGTTTCTTGGGCTGTAGGGACAGGAAATTGGCCTCAAATTGTCTCATAAATAAGTTAGCAAAAGATGGAGCCATTTTGGTGCCCATCACTGTGCCATGAATTTGAAGGTATGACCGTCGCTGAAAACAAAGTTATTATTGGTCAGAATCAGCATGATAAGTTCACGGAGATGTGATTTAGATGGGGTTTTGCCCCGAATTTGCTTGTAATTTGAAATGCACGCATTAACACCTTCTTCATGAGGGATATTAGTATATAATGACGAAACATCAAGTGTAGCCAGAACAGTATTTTTAGGTAAATTTGAAATTTGGTTAATTTTGCGGATAAAGTCCGTGGAGTCCTGAATGTACGAGGGGAGAGCAACAACATATGGTCTCAATAAATCATCCATATATTCAGAGATTTTTTCTGTAGCAGTACCGTTGCCCGAAATAATGGGTCTGCCAGGATGGCCTGCTTTGTATATTTTGGGTAGGACATAGAAACGTCCTGGTGCCAGATCGACTTGGATGAGATGGGGTCCAATTTTTGGATCGATGGAACCTTTTTTAACCCTTTCACTGCTGTAGGTATATGCACCCCCTGTGCTGGGACTTTTTTTAACGAAAAAGGTTAATTTTTAAAATAATTCAAAAAAAATACTAAAAGAGGTTATTTCGAAATTCTTTTTGTGTGTTGGGGCGAGCAATAGGTTGGCCTATGCGAGGAACATTGATACTTGGTATTTTGCATAATTAGGTAGTCATGTGACCTCAAAGTCGCCATTTTGAATTTCTGTTTTTTCTCAAATTTTGATAAAAAAACCCAATTTTTCCCAATGAAATTTTTATGGAATGTTTTTTTTTTTACTTTATAATGATGCAGACACACAAGATGAATAAAAACAAAAAAAAATGAGTTAGTTTGATCGTTTTATTCCAAAACCGCAAATAATTTTTCAAAATTGTGAAAATATAAAATTTTGCAGAAAACCACTGTTAGATGTACTTTTTGCCATACGTTTTTATTTGTGCTTTATATAATCCAGGTTGTAAATATAAATGCATCGTTGCAAACATCATACGGTTACTTTATTTTAGAACTATACAAATTAGCCTGTTCTATTGTGTGAAATGTGGAAAGGAAATCTGCGGACAAGGCATTGCCACCTTGACTCTGTGCATGGCCTCCCAAGTTGAGAGAATCATCGTTTTCGTCCTTAGAATCACTGTCGTCACTATCATAGTCGACTGGGGGAAAAAAAATGCAAGAATCATCCAATTCAAAGTTATCTTCACTATCCGTATCTGCAAAGATCTGGTCCATAGCTTCGTGGACATTGTACCGTCTGTTTTGAGGCCGTGCACCCGCCATTTTGCGCCTAACCACTCGAAAACACTTTTTTCCGATAAAAGGTTAATTATAGTTCATAGAAAAAAACTATAGAGGGCACAGAACCTCTTCCTGATTTTTAACAATATTTTTTCTACATACCCGGTAGTACCGGGTACGCGCAATTCAACAATATGTGTTTATACCCGGTATTACCGGGTACACGCAGTGAAAGGGTTAAACATTCCTCCTGTACTGGAGGGGTCAAATATAGAAGGAACAAATCAGGGGTGGCGCCAGCGGGGGATTTGGGGGGGTAGAGGAGAGCTAGCCCCCCCGCCCCGTCGGGGAGAATAAACACAATTCGTCGGGGAGAAGCTCGACCACGCCCACTTTGCTTTCGTCAGGGAAATCTGACCCCCCGTCGGGCAAATCCTGGCGCCACCCCAGGAACAAATCCTTATTGGTTTTAACTGTTTCATATACATCTTAAAAGCCTTTGGAAATCTGGTACTTTTTTTTTTCTGGTACACTTTTTTTTATTTTATATAAATGTGAATGACATCATTATTATTATTAACAAGGCAAAGAGACAACTCTTCCCAACCTGCCGCATGTCACCCTGTGATGTGAAGATGATCGCCTCCAGCCCCTCGTCTGTATATGTAACATTCTCCGCCTCGCACACCTCTAACAGCCTACTGAGGACCTGTGCATCTGTCAACTTTGAGTAGCGAAGTACGGCACATCTTGACTGTATCGGCTCAATGATCTTGTCAGAAGTATTGCAAGCTAGAGCGAAACGAGTTGTCTTGGAATAGATCTCCATGGTACGCCTAAGAGCCTGCTGTGCGCCATCGGTCATGCTGTGAAATAATACGCTGTGTTTAAGGCCTAGACAGATTGGTGTAAAACAGTATATTCAATAAAAACAGAAAATCATTTCAGAAGCCATTAAGGCTGAGCAGGGCTGAAGCTTGTCTCCAATTTTGGAGCCTGAAGCACATGAAAGTGTGATGCTTCCTATGGGATTTGTGTTATAAACAGTTACCATAAAACTCAAATAGAAGCCCTGGGCCTCTTTTTTTAGGACTGTTGGACTGTCAAAATGAATACTAAACAACATGTCTACTATAAACATATTTCAACCATGAAAACCTGTTAAAAAACAAGAAAACAATTTTTTTTTAAATTACAGGAAAGTATTTTTATCCAATCACAACATCAGAGATAACAGTCTGTATCATGGAATGTATTAATCAGCATTAAATGACTTAAACTACTGAATTAACAAAGTGTGTTTTTCTTTGTTTATGTTTCTTTGAAATTTATTTACAGTATAATAGCCCTACAGCATAATCTCGAAAAGAAGCCAGAATATCTTGAATAGACACTTAGCCCATGGGCTTCTTCTTGAGGAGGGCTTCTTTCTGAGGTTAAGAGGGGGCTTCATTTCGAGAAAGGCTTCTTCTTGAGATTAGTCCATAGGGCTGCTATTCATGTTTTTATGGTATGAAAACAGAAAAATTAAACTTGTTTCGGACTGTATCTTACTTTACACTTTTAAATTAGCTAATACTCTTTTTATTATTATTTAATTTTTCAAAGTTCTACAGTACATGTTTTCTTAATTCCTATTATTTTTTTCTATTGTATGTTAGATCAGTGAAATGTCATTAATTATAAATATAACAAATGAAATAACGAAGTTGAATAAAACAACAGAATCAAATAATAATTATAAATTAGATTTTAATACACTAAGTAGAATGAGATGATACTGCTGATTATCATAAGAGATCTTACCTATCTGCTTCATCCAGAATTACAATTTTCTGTCTTCCAACTGGTAAAGTCACTTTCTTCTGTGCGAACATTTTAATCTTGTTTCTTACAACGTCAATACCCCTGAAATAATTGCAAAAACAGAAGAATGTATAATATCTCCTTATAGCAATCTGATTTAATATTAACTAAAATGATAAAATTTATGACAATATTTAGATATATCAATTTGTGGTGGATAATTATTTAACTGCAGCTAGTATATTTATATCAGTATTTTAATACTTAGTACAAAATTTACATTCTGAAGAACTATATAGGATTAGTTCCTATTTCTTTCACATTACAAGGTTGTTATTCTAGCATTTTTAAATTGTTTGTTTTATTTTAATCGGTTTCAACATTAATACAAGGATGCAATTGGTCTAGTGATAAAGACACAAGTCCTACAACCACATATCTACAATGTCTGTAAGAATGCCAGTCAATTACAGCAAATGCCAGTTCAAGCGGATGCATTTAGTGCGAACAATAACAAGCCAGACACGATGGCGTCCATTTCGATAATTGGAGTATGTATTATATTATCTTATCCACTTTTTAAAAGTGAGTGGAATAAAAAACAACTATGATAAGATAAATCATTATTTTTAGGAATGCAGGTATGTTTAATTTTAAATTGTTAACCTAAAAATCAATAAAATATAGGCCAGAACCCACCAGGGCTTTTCCCTTGGCTCCCAGGCAAAGCTTGAGCCTCAGCTGAATGCAAATTGTTAGTTCAAAATAGAACATATTTAAGTAATTCGTACATAACTCGCACAGGCTGTTGTTCGCATACGTGGTTCTTTTTTCCGCTTGAACTAGCATCCGCTCAAAGTAAATTCCGCTTGAATCCGCTCGAAATGGCATTTGCTCGAAGTGGCATCTGCTCAAATTGACTGGTCCCGTCTGTAATACACTCACCTATCATTGGACGCATTTAACTCCAGAACACCTTCCTTGTAAGCAGAACCTAACAACTTCCTGGCTAAACACAGGATGCTTGTAGTTTTTCCAGTTCCTGGTGGACCCTTGATAAAGCATAGAAAGTAGTAAAATTGTTAATTACCTTCGCCAAGGAGGTTATACATTCAATGTTGTCTGTCAGGCTGCCATTTTTCCTGTCTGTCTGTTTACAAGATTATGCAAAAACTAATGAATGGATCATCATAAAATTTAGTGGAATGGTAAATAATAATAAAAGAAAGACACCATTTAATTTTCGGAGGAAAGGTTAAGGACAAAATTAAATTATTGACCCTAGAGCATAAAAAGAAATAAGGGAAT